TCCCTTTCTTATAAAAACACTCTGAGATCAAAGGGTTGATTATCACTGGGGATCCTTTTGCACCTTCCCTCTCCTGCTAGCATCTGAGTCACACCAAGATTTCCTCAACAACTTCTGCCATGTGATTTCCTTCCTCCACATTTCCACTGACTGCCCAGGCTGTAGATCTCATTCCAAGTTCATTCAGCAGCCTCTGAGCCAGCCTATCATTTAGTCAACTGACACTCAGTGTCTTAGTTACCTTTCTCATTGCTAAGAAAAAATACCTGACACTCAGAATTAAGAGGAAAGGCTTGTTTTGACTCATAGTTTGTAGAGGTTTCAGTTTGCAGTTGGCTGGCTCCAAGGCAGGGTGGCATGGCAGAGGGGCATCATAGAGGAGGAGTCATTCACAGTAGGCAGAAGGCAGCAAAAGCAGCAAGCAGCAAGCTAAAACAGCAGCCCTTTTTCTGTCCCTTATATTCTATCCAGGCTATGTGCCCTTAGGGTAGGAAGCACTCACATTTGAGGTAGGGCATCTGTAATCCTTGCATTGAACCATAAATTAATCCCAGCATCACACATCATTAATTCCAGTATTACACACTCTAGATGCAGCCACCTCCGAAAAGCCCAGCTATGACTGCATGAGGCTTTGGGGCCATGCAGGCTGTAACATTCAGTGAAGACAAATTCTGAGACATTAATTAACCAGATGCTTGGGGACACTAAGGTGAACAAGATGTGCCGACAGAAGTGTTTGAAGTCAGGGGGCGGAAGGTAACCAGAAAAGAAAGGGCAGAGGGAGTTCACATATGAGAGGTGTCCCTTCCAAAAAGAGGGCTTAAAAACAAAAAACACACAACTCTTCATGAAGCAGAAACAGCAGAAGAACTGCATGGACAGGATCAGCTGGGTTTAGGCATGACTAATGGCACTCAGAGTCACATCAGCACTTCATCCCCATTCTGACTCTTAACTCCCTGTTCCTGTTCCTTAGGGCAATTTACCCGCCATTTATTTCCCTCACCTGTAAAACACAGGTAATAACAACATCCTGCCCAGAGGCTTTCGGTTAGAAGTAAATGGATGCCCAACCCTGGGGCTGCGTAGAGGAAAAGAAATAAGACACAAACTATAACAAAACATAACTGTGTAAATGAAAGGTGTATAACACAGGAGTTGCAGGAGTCAGGAGCAGGAAGGGGAGGCAAGAACTATGAAGGGGCAACACAAAGGACTCATCGGAGTGAGGTTCTGTACCCGAACTGTGGTGACAGTCATACAAATATCTGCATATATTTTAACTCACAGACCTACCCACACTCCCCCCAAAATTCAAATTTACTCTATGTAAATTTAAACAGTATTTATACAAAAACATATTTTCATGAACACATACAAATACAAAGAAAAGCATTTAATACATCAGAACAGCTGTCTTTGGCAGGGTGAGTATGGGGTTGGAGAAAAAAACTAAATTAAACAAATAAAAGCAAGCCAGGTGTGCTGATACACACCTATAATACCAGGACTCTGGGAGGCTGAGGCAGGAGGAAACCAAGTTAGAGCTCAGCCTGGGCAACTTACCAACCTGGAGATATCTTGTTTCAAAATAAAAAATAAAAAAGAGCCAGTGATGTAGCTCAGCGCAAAAGCCCTTCTTCAATCGCTAGCACAGTTAATAATAATAATGATAATGCAAGGAGGGCCTTTGCACAGATCAACATAAACAATATGCCATGCTCTAGAGAGGAGGTCTGTCCTCCATGCCTACGAGAATGATCCAGAGGAGGGTAAGGATCCAGAGTAAAGGTGAGGAAGAAAAGAATTAAATAAGCAAAGAAGAAATGAAGACAACTAAAAGATGTAAAAGATATTGTGGTCTCGTGTAACAATAAATTACACAAAAACAAATACCACATCTATAACATTTTTTTACCATTATAGCCTTCAAACCAAGGCTCAAAGCCAGCACAAGTCTGTGGTATTTGGTAGCTGGCAATCACAGCATGGTCCTGAGGGACCCACATGAAACAGACTCGGGCAGGTAAAAAGCAGCCCAGCTTGGGCTCTCATGAGTTTGGGGTACCAGAAGGATCTTAAATGAAGATAAGCAACAGTCTTCTGGCTGTGTGGATCTGCAGGAGAGGAGAAATATCTGCTTCAGCAGACACATTTGGGACGTCCCAGAACACACAATGACAGCTGTGGAGACAGAGGTAGTTTCCAGCAGTGGGCAGGGCAAGACACACTGGGAAAACACAGACTTTTAAGAATAGGGAGAAGAGGAGCCTAAGAAAGAATCTGAGAAGTGACCAGAGAGACAAGCAGAAACCCTGGGGTATCAAGAAGAAGGTGATTGATACTTTTGCCAGTCAGCTTTCTGTCACTATAACAAATACCTGAGGTAATTAAGTTATAAAGCAAAAAGGGTTATTTTGGCTCCTGGTTTTGAAGGTTCCAGTCCACAACAGTTGGTTTCATTGCTTTGGGCCTGTGGTAGGCAACACATCACAAGGGGAGCGGGGAGAGGAAAAGAGAAGATAAAAAAATTAAGATGTCTTATGTATATGTACCAACACCCTGCGATGAGTGTAGTCACTATGTACTGCAAACACATACGGAAGGTAGGGAGGGAGGGAAAGACGAAGGGACGGAGGGAGCAAGGGAGGGAGGGAGGAGCAGCCAGTTAGAAGGGAGAGAGAGAGAGAGAGAGAGGAAGGATAAACAGCTAGTTAGAAGGGAACCCAAGTCTATAGTGTTTTTAAAGATCAAGAGGAAAAAAAATCAAAAAAATGGTTGAACTGGTAAGACAGAAGAGAAAAATCAATGACTGACAGAACTGTTATTGGGCCAGCTCACTATGAACGCAGCCTTTCTATTGTTTGTTTGGAATGTAAAAGTTTCTGAGCTCTACATGAGCTACAGGATCGTTAGGCAAGAAGGCCACAGCCAGAAGTGATAGCACAGGCCTGTAATCTCAACACTCTATGAGGCTGAGGCAGGAGGATAGCCAAATTCAAGCCCAGCCTGGAAAACACAATGACTTAGCAAGACCTTGTCTTAAGAAAAATCAAAAGAAGGGTTGAGAACACAGCTCAAATTATGAGGGCCCCGGGTTTCATCATCAGTTCTCCAAACAAACAAACAAAAAGAATGTGGTCAACAGAAGTAAAGATAACACAGTAGAAAGACTTACTTTTGACTGTTTACATTTCACATGTTTTGAATTCTCCCTCTCCCTCTCAGCCTGTCTCAAAGGGGATGAAAAAAGGAGGGTAGCAGCTGTTCCACAATATGTGAGATATTATTTTGTTCTGAAGAAAACAAAACGAAGCCATTTTGAAATGCTGATGAGAAAGAGCTAGTGGAAAAGAGGTAAACAATGTAGCTGATAAAGGAGATGAGGCAAAGCAAGGTCTCGGTAGGCAGGAATTTTCAGAATCTGAGAATGAGAAAGGTATGCCTTGGTCAGGAACACCCTGACCGGGTGCATGTCGATGAGACCCAACATCCACACCCCCTTCCCCTTTCTCCACCAGGTCCAGGGGTGAGAAGCCGCTCTAGGGTGGCCAGGCTAAGTCAGTCAGCGAAGCCCCTGCTCCTCAGACACAGCGATTGGTCCAGCAATGGACACGTGATCTGATTCTGGCCCGTAAGACTAAGGAAGCTTTCGTTGGGGCTTCATATAAAAGAAGTTTCCACTTTTCTGAAAGACCTGCAGAAAGCCGCTTCTTTCTCCTGCTGGAAGGGAATGAGAAGAGCGCAGCCCTGCATGTAGCTGGCAGCTATACCATAGCGCAAGGAGAATGGCCCCTAAGGTGCAGCCAACGTTAGGATGGAGAGCAGAAAGAGGAAACGATCCTGGGCCCTTGATGAGATCACCCAGTGGAAAAACCAACCTTCACCTGGGCTATGGGAAAAAAGCCACATTAGGGCTGCTTACGGTGGTGTATACCTGTAATCCCAGCACTCAGGAGTCTGGGGCAGGAGGAGCATTAGTTTGAGGCCAACCTGGGCTGCATAGTTGGCTCAAAGCTGGCCTGGATTACAGGGGAAGACCCTACCTCAAAACGAAACAAACAAAAGGCTCATTTGTGTAGGGTTTCCATTACTCCTCTTCTCTCACTGATGAACATCCCTTCCACACAACCAGAAACAAGACACATAAAGAGGCAGGAACTGAGAGAGACAATGTCAGGTGGAATTTTACATATTTCTCTGCAAAGTAAAGTGATCCAGATGCTGAGAGTGAGGAGGGGGTTGTAAGGAGTACAGAGATTGAACAGAATGGTGGAGACTAGATCTGACTGTCCAGGGCAATGGGAAAGAGAGTTGTGAGGACTGAGCCCTGGATAAGGGTTCTGAGATACCTGCCAGCTGCAAATAGCTGCTCTCCCACAACAAACATCCCTCTAGGAAGCCTTTGGGTTTGCACGAGAGGGGTGTTGGTGACCAGGACAAGGACAAAAGGAGTTGAAGGGATCAGGGCAATACCATAGTGATTGAAGGGATGAAACCCAAGGTCCAGGCTAGACTGGGGAGGGTGTTAGAGGAAGAAGGGGCAAATCAGTAAAACGAAGAGAGAAAAGGATGAACAGGCCAGACACCTCCTTGGATCAAAGAACAGGAAGTGAGAGCACCAAGAAAACAATGCAGACAGTTGAGTAAACAGAGTGAAGGGTGCCTGAATAACACAAAGTAGGCATCTGGCCCAGCACCCACCCCACCCCACCTTCACCCTCACCTCCTGAGTGTTATTTCAAGATTAGCTTAAGTGGGTGAGTTCAGATCTAAATGAAGCTGGGTGGACACAGATAGGAACTCAGAGGGGCCTAATTCTTCCTATATCACCTAGAGCCATGATCGCAGCGATAGGTTGGAGGGGAAATTTTTCAAGTCTGTGCAGATGTTTCTGAAAGCTTTGTAGTGGGAAACGATACTCTTCAAAGAAGAAGGGGACGTTGAAAAATAAAAAAATAAAGCTATCCTTCAAATAGTTTTTGTAAAGGACTCACCTCTGTATTCATCTTGCTCTTTCTTCAGTGGCTGTGAAGACAAAAGCAGAGGTTCAGTACTCTGGTGGCACCGCCCCAAGCTCTATACAAGCACCACCCTAGTCTCTCCCACTTTCTCTTGCACCACTTCCTGTCCCATCAGTCCCATTTTCCACAAATGCCTCCAGCAAAGACCTCCAGGTATCTTCCACTCTAGGACTGCTGATGGTCAACTTCCCTGAGGCATTTCCAAAATCCTTCTGCTATGGAAAGGGTAGCTAGAAACGATGCCCCATGGGAAAGTCATGCCTGGAGAGGATCTCTCTCATTTAATTTAATTTAGTTTAGTTTAATGTTTTTGCTGTGCTCAGGATTGAACCCTGGGCCTTGTGCATGCTAGGCAAGAGCTCTACCACTAAGCTGCACCCAAGCTCTGAGGATAGCTCTTAATTTCACTTTTTTAATGGAGACAAGCAAAGCAGTAAGAATGACACATCTTTTTCTCCCCTCCTAGCTGAGAGTTTCCAGAGGACTTCAATTTATTTTGTTAAAAAGACAGTTCAGCAGTTTACTACTCTGGGTCCTTAGCATTAAGGAGGAGGGAGCAAACAGGTGTGCATGATTGAGAAGCATGAAGGAAGAAAGATAAGGGGAAACAAGAAAGAGAAGGGAAGCAGAGACATGTAGCATAACAGGGGTACAAAACCAAAGAATTCCTGGAATTGCTTGTTGAAACAGTGCATTTCTGGACTCCACCCCCAGACCCTGTTTTGGAAGGCCTAAAATGGAGGAGAGGCTAAGAATCTGCATTTTCATCAGGCATCCAGGATATCATGGACAGAAAGATGGTCAGGAACCACCCTTGGAGAAACTCTGGGATCATAAGTAGAACAGAGAGGCCCGTAAGTTTTTCATTCATTTTACAGAGCTGCTAAAGGTGCTACTATCTTTCAACCAACACTGGGCAAGTGGATAAACAAGGAAGATGAAGAAAGTGCTTCCACCCAGGAGCATGTCCAAGAGGCCAAAAAAGATGGGCAGGAGGCTCCATGATCTCTAAAAAGGGAAGGCTGAGGCAGCACTATTTTGGCTCCAGCCTTGCATATGACCAGATTCTTTTTTTTTTTGGTACCGGGGATCAAACTCGGGTCCTTGCGTTTGCGAGGCAGGCCACTGAACCGCTGAGCTAAATCCCCAGGCCCCTGACCAGATTCTTTTGTGTTAAGTGTTGGGATGATAACATGAATAATAACAGTGATGTAATAACGCCATTAAAAAAAACTTAACTCTGGAAACCCAAAGACTGTGCAGGGAATACTACATGGCGAACATCTGGACTCTTCACTTTTCACATTTCCAGCAATCCTCCCCTTCTCTCTTCCCACCTCTTCCTGCTTTGAGAGCAGGTCTCGTGATGCTGTCAGCATGTACGCTGTCTTTCGAAATCTGGAGCCTTTTTCTATCTCTCAAAAGATATGAAAAAGGGATCTTGAAGAAAACCCTAAAGAGTTGAGTGAGATAAAGTGAGCAGACTTTCTTCTGAAGTCCTAGGGAGTCAATGTGAATGTGATGTCTGCTGTGCATGAAATAGCTCAGAAGGATGACTTAGATTCGGATGGCTAAATTTGGAGTGGGATTGGGGGAGCTAGAACTAAGTGGAGGGTACACGCAGGATAACACTGGGAACCACATGGCTCTGGTTGCCCTCCCAGTGTCCCTCTAGAGCTTCCATGGGAATGTGGACATCAGATAAAAAGCCACACAAACATGAGGAGAGTGATAAGTTGGGAGCTTGTTTGTGTCAGCTGCTTTATGTTAAACCCAATTCTTACAACCTTGGCAGAAACAGCTAATATTAATTGCACTGTATAGATGAGGAACCTGAAGTTCACGGGAGGTACAAACACTCCCAGCCAAGTTTCCAGAGGATTTTAATGTATTATGTGACAAGAGCAATTGATCAGGCTACTCTGATTAGCATTCAGGGTCTCACAGGCTTTAGTCACACTGTCAAGGGTTTATGGCATTGCCCTGTCATTACCAGAGTTTCCAGTTCTGAATCCAAACCCAACTGTCCCAGACACTTTTACAGAGCTTGTCTTATTTTCACTCCAATAGCTCTTATAACAGGAGACCTGGTGCTTGGTCCTGTGTCATTATAGGCTTCTCAAACAATGGTGGTCAAAGCCTCCACATTTGTAGGCTAAACAGCTGACTTCAACTCTAAAGTCAGCTTCAGTTCTAACATATCTGCTGGTTCCCAGAAAAGGAAATCTAGGTATTTCTTAAACATGTGGAATAGTATCTGATTTCAGTCATGATCAAAGACATAAACTAAGACTTCATCAAGAGATCCTTTCAGACTGACAAATAAAAATGTGTGCTGGAGTGTGTTGGTCAAAGACTGGTGAAGCGTATACTCTCTGCCACTCTTGGAGGATTACAGGTGGGAGCCAGCTCCCTGAAGGATGGGCAAGCATTAGCTATTAAAATGCCAAATGCACATAACCCGTGACTTGGTAACTCCACTGCTTCTCATTTCTGTTTCCACCCCCAAACCATGTTCAGAGGAAATCATTAAATTGCCTGGAATCCTCTGTCTTTGTAGAAATATCAGCGTTCTGTTTTGTTTCGTTTGTGGTACTGGAGATTAAACTTGGTGCCTTCATGCTAAGCTGTGCTCCTAGACCTTTTAACATTTTTAAATTTTGAGATAGACCCTTGCTAAGTCATAATGAGAGCTTATAGCAAAGTTTTCCTTTAAGAGCAATTTTTTGGGGGGTAACAGGGATAGAACTCGGGTCCTTATACTTGTGACGCCGGCAGCGGCACCACTGAGCTAAATCCCCAGCCCTCCTTTTAGAGCAATTTATACAACTATATGAATTTATGAACTTTACTGGTCTCCCACAGAATCTGGGGTAAGCAAAGTGAAGCAAAACAAAACACATTCAAAGGAATGACTCTGTGTGAGAAAGAATCCTCCTTGGAAATGCTGCCATGTTTAGGCAACAGGGTGTCTCATGGGATGGACTTTTTCTCCACCTTCAGCTCCCCTAATAATACCATAGCTCTGACAGGAAACACAGCAACCCCAGACTAGACGAGATCTGGCTCCACTTTTCAACACTTGCCAAAATTTGGATCTGAAATGTCCACAAAGGACTCATGTGTTAAAGTCTCAGTCACCAGCTTGTGGCCTCATTTAGAGGTGGTAGAAGCCTTCAGAGGTGGGGCCTAGTTAGGGGAAGTGAAGTCACTAGGCATGAGACCATGAAGGTAATATTGGGACCCAAGTCACTCCCTGTCTTTCTCTTTGCTCCCTGACTGCTATGAGATGAGCAGTTGCCTCTACCATGCACACCCACCATGTTGTGCTGCCTTGCTGCAAGCCCAAAAGCAACAGACCAGCTTACCATGGACTGAAACCTCTGAAACTGTGAGCCAAAATAAAGCTTTCCTCCTTCTACAGTGTTTATTTCAGATATTTAGTCACAATGATGGAAAGCTAACCCAAGACTCTACCAACCCATCATGCACCTCTCCCTCCATGTCTCCTCACCCTCTTCCCAAGACCCATTTACATTTAAAAAGAATGCAGGGAAAATTTTTATTATTCATTCTATAGTTTATTAGATCCCAAAACATCCTAACCCTACAATAAGATTTAGGTTTGTTTACTTTTTTCTTTCAAAGGTTTAATATTTAAGTGGTTACACACAAAAGTATTTTAAGTTGTTATTTAGCATTACATTTAATTTTTTCACAAAAAAAACCAGATAAATACATTTTTTCTCTTATATTTGTAACTTTTTTGTGTTGGGAATAGAACCCAGGGCCTTAAACTAAGCTACATCCCCAGTTATTTTATTTTATTTTGAGACAGGGTCTCACTAAATTGCTCAGGCTGGCTGAACTTATGATACTCCTGCCTGAGCCTCCCAGACAGCTAGGACTCTAAAGGTGAGCCATCATGCATGCGTCTTTATATTTTTATTATATTATTACTATTATTATTAGTGTGGGGGGGTACTGGATTGAAACAAGATCTTGTGCCTGATAGGCAAATGTTCTACTACTAAACTACACCCCAAGACTAGATTTTTAAAATATATCTAAATTGCATTTTAATATATGACATAAGACTTTTCCCCAAATGTGTTACTTCCACATTGTTTATTGAATATTTCATCTTTTCCCCCCAATAACAGTACTTAAATCTTATTGGTACAGTTATTCTTTTCAAGGTCTCTGCTGTGCCCTGAACCTATATTCTCATTTCTATAATTCATATACTGTTCACAAGACTATAATTTTACCATGTGTTGAAACCTGGTCATTCAAGTTCTCTTGTTAATTCTGCTCATTATTCTTATCTATTCTTGTTTGCTTAGACCTCTAGGTTAGTTTTAGAACATTTCTGTCAAGTTAACAAAAATTCCACTAAGATTATGACTCTGACTATTCGGATGTATCAAATTAGGGCAAAGTAATAAGCCTTTCCTTCCACAAACTCTGTATGCCTTTTCAAGAGTGGTCATTTAGAAAGTAATTTTTGAAAAAAGAGGAAGAATCATGAGTTGATTCCTGAGGAAGAATCTTGAGTTGGTTCCTGAATTACTGCAGAAGGACAAACAAAAGCTGAATTCAATTTTACAATTTCAGTAGAAAGTTTAAAAAGAAGGATCTTTTGCATAAATAAATAAGCAATTTTAAGCAGGCTTCTGCCCCTCCCCCCTGTACCTACTGTAGTAGGTCTGCTAAGCAGTTTAGGAGTTTGAGCCTTTATTTGCTTTGACCCCAAAGCACAACATGCACAGACACAAAGGGTCTCTGGTGGTTGAAGACCTTGTCTTCAATTCAAAGGACCAGAAATGTAGGTTTGGCATGGGCCATGATCTCACAGTGCATTTGTTTCTACACCTAGAAAAAGGAGAAGAAGCGAGAAACATAGACAATTTTAGATAACTGCTATGCTTACCTTGAGTGCTGATACAGCATTTTGCTTTTGTTCTCTTCTGATTTTTCTTAGCCATTTGAATTAGTTAACTG